AAACAATTTGAACATCGTTATGCATACGATGAAACACCAATCTAGCATCTGACTGAATTCCATATTGATCCAATGTTGTCCGGCTCTGCAAAAGCCATACATTTCTATCGACCCACCATATTGCATGATCTGACCAACTTTGTTGTAACTTCACTTTTTCGACAATTAGATGCATCAAACCACCCAGTGGTAGATCACCCGAAACACGTACTGAAACATTTGTGTTTATGTCTTCAACGCGAACAGATAATTCCCAAGATCCATCAATATAATTTCCATCCACTACCATCCGACTGATAGTTTCTGTTCCATTGAAAGTATGAGTACCTCCATTATGGACACTAAATGGATCATATGCAGACATCGGTTAAAAGTACTTCACAAATTGCATGCACACGCAGTCAAGATAGTATCACCGATAATACCGATCAAAATATATTTAGCCTCATACACAAAGCAATTTTTATGACTCTTTGAACGCCTACCTGATGTGTCATCTACTATTGGCCAAACCTGGTCTGACTATATGTAAGTGCTTAAAAGACACAGTTAGACATTTGATGCAAGTTGTAAGTTTAAACCAATCACCAAATAATTCACGTGATCATACACCCACATTTTCTTATTCTTTTCTCTCACCCTAAGAGCCAACCAGAAAATAGTAGATGGCATAAGAGTAATATTTTTTCTTAAAGTCATACCTACTGGATTTTCGTTTTGATTACTTAAAAATTGATTGTGATAAACACCACGATTCGAAGGCTTTCTATAACCATATGTTCCCAAGCCGTTGAAATGAGGTTATAATTCACTTGAAATAGCAGGATATAAACTCTCATCTGAACGAAGTTTAGTGGCTTAGTAACATCGAGTTTGATGTAGCACCATAATTTAAGACACAATTTGGACAAATATAAAAGCCATTACCGTACAAAAATAAAGAGAATTCAGCGAAGAAAATTTTCTTTACTATGAAATCATTTACTCAAGCTGCACATTCGTATTTATAGTTGTTTGGTAAATATATATCTATAGAAAGATAAATAGACTTTTGAGATGATGGAGATTTGTAGCTCAGGTGGGTGATTTTGATGTTGGTTTGTTCTCTGAGCTGAGATAAATAGACGGCATCGTAAAGTGATTCGAGATTTCAAGTATCAAGTAAGGTTGGAGAAGAGTAGGTCGATGAAAATAATTTACGGGTCAGAATTATGGAACATAATTGTCCATTTGAAAGATATGAAGAAAAATGATAAACGTAGAGGTTATAATAGTAACTGGATAATAATCATGGGAAACTGTTAAATGATAATAGTAACTCATTGCGGTTTGAAATTACAAAACACTAATTAAAAAAAGCACTACAGAAGGGAATTAAGGTTAAGGAAGGATGAGAGGTATGACGTATCGTTTTCACACACAGAGTTCGGGCTTGAATTTGCGGATCGCCAACGCCTCAGTAGTGTATAAGTTTTTGATTCGGCCTCTCTTCGATCCAGTTAATTAGATTGTGTAGATTACTTTGAAGGAAAGTCTTTTAGAACGACCTGTCTAGAGTTGATTAGATGCTCCTGTATTGAACTGGTGATTGCTTTGCATTCTTCTTTTAAAAGCCACTCCAGCTAATGTTCTGAGATGCGTTTGGTAAGTGATCGCGGTCAATGCAACCTGGCCCACAGGAGAAATTAAATTTATAGACGCATATTGATGTGGTCCAAAGCAGAAGTTTATCCTCAACACATCCGTGAATGGTGGGCGGGCTTGAGGAGACGTTATGAAGTCTAGCTGAACAGAAGGTTTTATTCAGGGATTTGGCAGCCGTATCTCCTTTTAATTCGATACTCAAAAAAAGTTTTCTTTTGAACTGCCGATACTTTTCAGGATTCTATCTTGGTGTTAAGTTCCTATCGACAAATCTAGATGGATAACCATCTCTGAAGAGTACCTGCCGAAGCTGAAGCAGTTCTTCATCTATTGTGTCATTGTAATATATTCATCTAGTCTTTGGGGGTTAAAGAGAGAATTCAATTTCTCTTTCTCACCAATATGATCCAGCTATGGAAACTTGTGTATTGGCCGTTCCATGTCTGTTTCTTATGTATAGATCTAACAAGTGTAATCTTCGGTGGATAGCGATGCTTCTTTTTTCACACCGAAAAGTGCCGTTAGGTTAACGATTATATCACTGTTGGCATGAAGTTAATTTCTTGATCTCGTAAAATTCTAAACTTTTACTGAGTGCAAATAAACCTACTTTCAACTGATTCTGACACAAATCAAATGTGGTGAGAAAGAAAAATAGAGGCATATTAGGCGCATGATTAGAAAAGTGAAATTTGTATATTTTAATATGCAAAAGAAATCCCTCTTTCTTATGTTTATTTTTTGGCTTTATTAATCTCTAAATTCACTCAGTATTGCTTGGTTGAATCTTCCCATTGACGTTTAGGACTACAGTTGATCAGTCACTTATTGGCCATATGTGCATACAGTGTGTATCGCCTCGATATAGCCTTATTTCACAAGCATTATAAGCAAAGACGGATAGTGAATAGCAGTGGAGTCCAGGATGCGCGTTTCGTCCTCTTTGGGACTCGTCAGCTGATGATGAAAATATTTTGGATGTGATTAAAAAGATTTTTAAAAATAAATGATCGGTTAACTTGTATTTGAAAGTGTGTGCTTATAAATAAACATTTTGTTGCTTGTAATAATTTGTTAATTGTCTATAAATTGTGCATTTTTGTAATCTGAGTAGTTCAAACCAAAGTACCATAAACTGGTTTGATTAAATGTCAAAATTTGCATTTTCACATTTGAATTTTATGTTTTAAAAAGATTCTATCAGTCTGTTTCTTCCGCGCTTTGATATAGAGTTGTAACTTCTGAAAAAAGGACATCAATTCTGATCGACCGCCATACAATACTCCTGGCTGTGAATGTATATTGCGATAAAAAGTGGGATTAATTTTTTTTCGATCACGTAGACATGGGACTGAAGTCGTCAGTTATTGTGACCATAGAAAAACTATGCATGTCATTAAAAGAGAAAACAAATTTCCAGTTTATCGTTTCCATGAATTATTTTGACATATCGTTTGAACTTGTAATGATCGTTGTATGTGTGTAAACTTATGAATAAATTATTGTTATAAGATCATGTACAGGGTATATATTATTCATGCTAAACGTCGAAGATTGGTGAACGAATAACAGTTTATGCTTTCGTAAATGAATAGCAATTTAAGAGATCTAGCAACTTGGACCGATGTATATATGTGCGTGGTCCTACGTTGTAGCTGACTGACTGATTTACGTATAGGTGATACTTGCAAACAGTAATTCTTAATACAATGGATATATTTTGTTTCGCTTTAAAAAGGTATCGATAATAAACGAAACATTGTATTCTTGAGTATAGTAGTCCATAGGTAAATAGATAGATGCTGTGTAATTTTACCAATTTATCAACATAAAAATTGTTTTCAACTATACGGTGTACAATCTGCGTAGGTGACCTGTATATAAATATGATAAAAAAGCTTATCTGTGTATGTAATATTGTAAGTCAGTTATTGTGCTTGGAAAGTGTACGGTTAGGTCTATTTTACGTAATGTCGATAGCATATGTTTTGTAAATATGCAGTAATACCATATCATTATTTTAATTCTCAATTTAATTTCGTAATGACAACGCAAACGTATTCAATAATTCAAATATATAAAAAAATTAAAGTTCATTCATCGATTTCTGTCTACTTTATACCATTCAGTTTACCGCACAGTAACTTATTCACCTTATTAGTGACATGTTCTGTACTTCATGTTTTTTTATTAGTCACGTCAGAAATCATTTGTAAATGATTTGATTTATTTGTTAAACATATAAGAAGGGACACTAACAAATTCTATGTACATATTCGCGTTATGTGACAGTTAAACGTCATACTGAAAACCATATTGGACAAGTAATTAAAATAAAACTAGTGTTAATTAACTGGTTTAGGTCTGACAATCTTTTTTAATCGATAAGACTGCTAGATGAGAATAAGGTCAACTGTATGAATTGATATTTAGATGTACTGAAGTTTAATTTCGATATAATCATTGAAAACCTATATTTTCCGGCTGAAAAAACTGAAAAATGTTGAAAATGCGTTATTGAAGTTTGTATGTACGATTATTAAACAGATCAGTGTTCATTAGATGATATCGGCTTTTGATGAACTATAAAAAATGTATTACTTATAGTAAAATCATGCAACGTTAATGATAACTGAAACTTAATCCTATCAAGTTTTAGTAAACATTATAAGGTTAAACAGCATTTTTATCAGTACTGACTGAATCATACTACGTAAAAGAGGAGTTCACATGCGCTGATAAAGCGTTTAATAATTTCACTTAATTCACAGGTAACATAATGGTATGTACCAAGATAACGGATATTGCTTATGGATGAATGCTGATACAAATTAGCCTTTGCGCAGATAATAAAGGTTCTGCGATTATACGGCTGAACGTATTCTTATGTTTTCATGAGTGAAGGACACACGACTAAGTGCATGTTGCACATATTCATGTGTAAGATGACTATGTTTTTACTTTGCACCTTCAGTGATATGATGCTTATGTATCCATAACCATGTCCATGTTCACGGATAGACTTTAATAGCCTCGTCAAGCATTTAACTACATTTTCATTATTTTAAGTTAGTACGATTTAGTATAGCCTAAACTGCACGCCAAACCACTATCTCCATTTGCTATTCTTAAATGTCTCATCAGTACAATGTAATCAGTTTCTTACAACCACAGAATTTTATCACTTTTTGTTGAATACACAAGAACTATCTCAACTTATATAAGAACTCTCGTCTAAATTAGAACGAATAGTTTCACAGTATTTTTATCTCAACTTAGTTATCAAAAAAGTAAGAGGCACAATAGATGCAACTGTAAATCTAGCCCATGGATAACTAACATTAAATGCAATGACGGCTGAACTGTCATAGAAAATACAGAAAACGTATATGGAATGCGAATGACAGTAATTTACTGATGTAATTAGTAACGAATAAAAAAACTGAAATCAAGTTGTGCGCGGCCTTAAAAAGGGCTTTCTGTCGATCTCTTGGTTTCAAGCCTACAATCATTTCTTTTGCAGGGTTTTCCATTTCACTATTCCCGTATTTCCTCAATAATCGGCTCATAAAAAAAGTTAGTTTCCTAGTTAGTAACTGAAATGTGAACGTACCGTTCCGCTTGATGGTTGAACAAGATGGCATAAATCATACAGTCCTTTTTTTTCTGTCACCGAATTCTTCCGAGTTTGTCGAAACAACATCACCTTCTTCGTGACTTACCGTTGCATCCGAATCCACGTTTGTTGGTAATATATATCAGTTGGATTCCTGGAATTTCTTATCCGCAGAAGTGGAGGCTTCGATATGAGGTTCAGGCACTGCGAATAACGTCAACAGTGTTTGAGGCATTCTTCTGATGCTTATGGAAATGAGAATCACGAAACTCGTAATGGCAGTATGTCACTCTTCCATAATTTCTGATAGCGATTGGAATGCTCGAAACAATACAGCAAATACTTTGTAAGTCACTTGGGTTCGCTGTTTGAGAAAAGGTAATCACTCGAGGAATATTTGAGTTTTATATCACTTTTCAGAAAATAATAACCAATGATTACCGTTTTAAAGCAAATCGTTTCACTGTACAAAACGGGATAAGACATTTTTTGATGAAAAATATTACAAAAATAACTGTGCGATAAATGATATTCTGTTTTCTGAATCTATAAATACTACATTTCCAGCCTATCCGATTAAGTTAACCATTTACACCTCCCCTATCTCCTGTATAACACAGTTGTAATTAGATGCTAACATTTTTTACTCGTATACACATTCCAGAATAAGAAGTTCATGAAACAGATATGACGCCTACTTTAATAATCATTTCTAAAGTAAAAGATTTATCATAGCAAAGGGAGACATTGAGATTTATATCTGTCTACTGAATCAGGGAAGTCCAGATGGACGGCATGATAATACACCGTTCAAAAATTCTTTGATGAACACAGAAATATGGACGCCTGAATGACAAAAAAGTAATAAATAATGTGTTCTTAAAGTATTTTGTACACTTTGAATAATTAAAAGAAATATCATTTAAACATGAACTATGGTGGATTAAGCTTGATTTTAACCACCAAGCCACTACTCATTTAAAGAATTGTCCATCCATGTTACTAACAAAACTGTTCTATTTGACTAAAGAAGGAACAATTAACTCAGAAGAATGACATGAATATATTATATTCCGCGGTTTCTCATCAGCTGTTTACAACTTAAATATAGTCCTGTTAATCATCGAAAATCCATGTGCACATATTATATCAAAACATCACGAATGTTCACATTAATGAAGATTAATATAAAGAGCGATAAGTATGGAAGAACCATAATAGGATGGTGATCTCCAAATTAGTCAGAAAATCCCAGTCTGAGAATCTTAAGTCAATAGCTAAACTTGACCATTTACTAGCTCAAGAATAAATATTCAATGTTTTGTTTAGAAGAAATGGATTCTTGAGTTGACTGGATCCTCTGAGAATCTATTACATTTTGTCAGGATTTGAGTGAATTTGAATAACATTCATTGAAGTCTATCCAACGGATCGAAGTCATTGTTAGTAATTAGTCAATTGGTTCACCGCTTAAGAACTAGAAAGTCGTTAATTATTCTCTGGTAACATTCCCATAACTTGAATAGAGTGGATGTAATCCTATACGGAAGAATTATTAAGATGAATTCAACTTAAAAGCAAATTAGATTATCAACAATGACTATCTTAACGACCGAAATTAAGCAATTTCTCAATATTTAATACTTCGTACTACAATTTGTTTTTCCAAGCATATTTGTAGCAAATCAATTCACTAGTGAATAAATCTGCAAGACAGGTTTTCTTATGTTATGAGAGATTGAAGGAAAATATAGCTGGACGCTGATTATAAATGGGACCATAACAAAGACTATCAAAGGAAAAAAGTTCGAAAAAGCACACAAATTCAATGAACCTAATCGATGAAAATGAACGCTAGTTAATTGTCATCAACCTTATAACTATAGGTAGCTCTATCTATGGATGATTCAAACGAAATTAGCCATACCTTTTTATTACAGAGTTCTTTCATAAGGTGTGAAAACCATACGTTCAATACTTCATTTTCAGATCTTCTATCAATTGTCTCAAACTTCATCGTTCCTTCATTACGATAATAGGTATTCTCTGTTCCCGTTCTCTTCGATTCTATCTTCCCAACCTTCTACTGCCATGCATTCCACTTCTGATTTGTGATATATACTACTTATGTCTGTCGATATAAGCAGCATACCCTACATTGTCATAATTTGTCTTAATGAGATACTTAGATTATCTTGTAAGCTTTTTGATTTTCTATGAGATTTTACATGGATACAAAGTTTACGTCCATTTCTCTAATAATTCAAAATATATAGTAAAATAACTTTCTTAAAACCCTGAAAATTTAACCACTAAACCTCCAAAACAGTACAAAATATGCCCAAACCATAGTTGAACCGTAGACGGCGATAAACATGTAATTGTTGACCGAAATTTAACAGCATGTCGTAAGAAGAAAAAGTTTAAGTTATATCAAGTAAATATAAATTCACGTTGCAAAAAAGATATAAAAAGTTGAGGAAGACATAGCGGATGAAAGTGAAAGTAGACTTCCATAGTGACCTCATTTAAACCAATCGGGTCCAGGTTAGTATCTAAGCTACATGACTTGACAAGTAACGAAAAATTCACTGTTAACAAAGGCTATTAAGATGTAATTTTAATTGATTGATCACTGGGTGGTGATCAACCTCCGGTCGCGGCCCGAATAGCTCAGTGGTAACGTCTCTGACTGTGAAGTTGAGTGGCACGGGATCGAATCGGTCAGGGAGCACCACTTCCCTCAAGATTACAGGTACACCTTGCTGACGAGTGCCAGGTAGCACGAAACCTGGGTCCAAGGTTTCCTGTTGACCAACTCTAACCACCATCTTATGCTAGTAAGATGTATTATGAACAACTGAATAAGAGGCCTGAAATAAACTGCAATATACTTTTGATTGGACGACTAACAATTTCTATTCTGAACATAAATTGAATGATGGTTTATTGATTTTCTGGAATTATTCATTTATCTAATTCTAAGAAGTACAGCTTCTAAAGTCTTTTATATCATTATTACTGTAAACAAGAATTTATCGATCTATCTCCATTTAACCAAACTATAATGTGAAGGTCTATTCAGAAATATTTTAATGATAATTATAATAATTCTATGTTCAATAAATATTAATTATCATATGACTCTTACAGTATTAACCGAAATCCTATTTTCAAGTTAATGGCTTGACATTATTACTAATCAAAGTAATTCTTTATAATTAAGTTATAAATTTACAAAAGGTTGCAAACGGCTGTTTGTATTAACAATTCGAAACTATTACTCCTTGATGCTGTCATGGCGTCACTTCATTCTAGTGACGCAAGTTTTAAAAGAAAATTAGAAAGCTATTTGTTCTTTAAACTTTGCTTGAGAAGCGAAAACGCTACGATCTTTACTCATGTGACTGTTTTCTGATAACATGAATTTGGCAATGATTTATCCTCTTAGTCATGTGATTAACCTAGTGCATTTATAAAGGTTTATATATTATATACACTGATTAAACTTCAATGATAGTATATGTATATATCTTTTCTAGTGAAATTACTATTAACATGTTTCATTGGTCTGTTTGAAATAGTTTTAAGTGTAAGTCTTTCCTGCATATTACTGGAAGGCTAATGAAACTTTCCTGTCACTAGCCATTTCAATCCGGAAAATAACTAATAAAAAGTAGTTCTCCTGGGTTGTAAAAATATTATCAATTAACATTGGTTTAAAGATTAACAGAGATAAAATTGCAAAGAAAATACATTTTCATAAACAAATATATTCGTTCGTCTTTAATACACACCTTCATAGTTATCAAGCATCACAGTACAGTCTTTGCGATGTTTGGCTGTACGAAAAAAAGTAGGAATGAGAAATGTCGAATTAACTGACGTTCATATATTCACTACCATAGTTCGACGATAATGACGATGATATCTGATTGATGTTACAATATTCTTTGTTATTTATGGTACACTTAATTCGTGTAACTCTTTTGATGGGTTGGTGCATGATCTTTTAGACACTATTTTTCTGCCTACTGATGGGAATACTTCACTAATTCACATATTTTTAGTTCTTCACATACCTAAAAATCACACCCTTATAGATTAGCCAGTATTTTGGGAATTTACTGGATCCAAAACCTACAATTTGCCCTAGTTGTATTCATATTCTAAGTTCATAATCGGTATTAAGAATGTTAGTAATAATGATGGTGGATGCTCTTTAAAGGTCGATCAAATCCTGTCGAAGTAAAATACAAGTGTGGTAGTGTTTAGTATAGGGTTTTTGGACACAGAAGACTTAAGGTAGTATGAATAAAGGTTGCCAGAAATAACAAGTCTTTATTGTCCTTCAACTCTTCTAAATTATTTCTGAGGCTATTTTCCAACTAACTGTGTTGATGCGAAGTTTGATAACACTTATGTCAAGTCCTCATTTGTTTCTTACCGTCCTGTTATCTGTCCATGTTAAAGTGTTGTGTAATTCAGTCACTTTATTTGTTGTGAACTAGGGAGTGTAAACCGGTGATTGTTTTTTTAAATGGCAACAACAACCTCTCTAAAATCAGTTGATGTATTGTTGAACAAAATCGATCATAAATTTTATATTTTAGTTAAAAATTTAGTCATATATATAAAGTGCGATTAAACAATTTTCCTGTGAAATGGAATCGGTTAGAAAACCACTGAATTATTGAATATGTTAAGTGTTTTGTTTGAATAGTAAAGAATGCTAAAATAAATCCAGTTAGGACGAAAAGTATTAATTTTGAGTAGTAGGGCATGAAAGTGAGTACTACTCTTGTGGTCGCATATAACCAGGTGAACATATTTGTTTTTCAAAATAATAACTAGCAATTCACATTTATGGGCTGGTAGAATATTTTCTCTTAAAAAAATAAATTGAACACTCAATAAATAGTTCACTTATAGTGTCCCTATTGGTTACGTAAATACATACCTAGCTAATTGTAAATCAGGATTTCGCTGATCAACATTCCTGTTTATTTATTTGTCCAAGTACGGTTTCAGGCAGGTGTTTTTAAAGAAGACTGACCATAGGGATTCTTACTTGTTTTTTAATATAACACAAGAGTGCCGTATTTTTGGGCAACACCTACAAGAACTACCGAAAGGATAGCGTTTGTTTGTGGTGTCAGTGAAATTTCGTTTTTTCTACATCAAGTCTTTTTTCTCACATTTATTTGAAGTCATTCATTTCTCAACTATAAATATTTTACGGAAAATCTGAGTTCAAGGATTTATATATGGTTGTAATTTATTTAATTCTACTAAGAAAATCTGTTATTCCTTTTATTACCGTCATTATTTAATACCAAAAAGGTAAGAGACTCTGAACAACTG